CCCCTAAACCCTAAACCCTAAACCTATGCGTTGGAAGAGAAGGGGGGGGGGGTTGGAGGAGGTCTGAACCGGTTAAGATGGCAAGTCGTTGGGCCCTGAGAAGGTTTAGGGCTTAGGGTTTAGGGTTTAGGGGTTTAGGGTTTAGGGGTTTAGGGTTTAGGGCTTAAAGGGTTCAGGATTCAGAAGGTTCTGGGGTATGTGCAAGGCTATGTTAGGCAGGTGGGTTATATGGGCATAGGTTGTGGGCGGAGTTTAAGAATATCTTTTTTTTCTAGATTCCAGCCCTAAACCTGAAACACCAAAAGCCCACCGGCTTCTGAAAACGTTCCATTAGCACAAACGGATTGATTTGCAGTTGTTTCCGGATGGTTGCGACAAGGGTACTCTGACTGAGGACCAATATTTCGCCCATGCGTTTCATCGCAAGTCCGGAGAGTGTAAATTTGAATGAAAAAGCCCTAACCCCTACCCCCTAGACCCCTAAACCCCTAAAACCCTAAGCCCTGCAAAGCCAGGTCACTGCCCGAATGATGAAGACCACGGGAGAATGCCTGTAGCCCAGAGGTTGACAAACTGCTATTAGGGTTTTAGGGTTTAGGCTTTAGGGGTTAGGGGGGTTTAGGGGATTAGGGGTTAGGGGGGTTTAGGGTTTTGGGGTTAGGGCGGTTTAGGTTTTGGGGATTCGGGGTTAGGGTTTAGGGGTTAGGGTTTAGGGGTTCAGGGTTTAGGGGTTTTAGGGTTTAGGGGTTTGGGGTTTGGGTGTTTAGGGTTTTGGGGTTAGGGCGGTTTAGGGCATTAGGGGTTTAGGGTTTAGGGGTTAGAGTTTCAAACTCATGTAGTCATAGGCCCCTTTACTGTAGTCTCCTTAGGAATTATTGTTTTTTGGTATAGTATAACACCAAAAGACTTAGTAGAAGTAATGTTTCGCATTTCAGGTCCAGGGGGATCACAGTTTCAAAGGCCTGTTGTGTGATTCAAAGCCACTCAGGGTTGGGTCCATCTACACTACGTACCCGCCAAAACAGCATTTCAGGAAATCAAAAACAGGATGCATAATTTTAAGGGGTGCCGGCTGTGTGACAGTAGAACGATTCTGGAGGAACTTTTTATAGCCCATATTGGGGGACTGAACGGGCTTGGGTTCTGAATACGGCTATAAGTAGCTATTACTGACCCATGGACCTCCAATTACCCAGTACTACCCTATGGACCTCTATGTAAGCTCACCTTCCATATCTTCGTCCATGTTTTCCATTTGGTCTTCCACAATAGGGGTTTCATCTCGGCATAGCCGTAAAATCCTTACATAACCCGATTAGCCCCATATAACCCTATGTAATACCCCCGTAGAATCCGCCCTAGACCCTAATCCCTAAACCCTAACCCCTAAACCCTAAGCAGCTGCTGAGGTCTGGAGGCCGAAGCAGAGTGAGGTTTAGCCTGAAGCTTCTCGCCTCCGGGCATGAGGTTGCTGAGAAGAGATCGCCTGGTTTAGGGTTTAGGGTTGAGGGGTTTAGGGTTTAGGTTTCAGGGTTTAGGGGTTTAGGGTTGAGGGTTTAGGGTTTAGGGTTGAGGGGTTAGGGTTTAGGTCTCAGGGTTGAGGGTCTAAGGGAGTGCGTAACTTGCTTGCTGGCGTTTGAGGGGACTTGGATGCAGCGATAAAATCCTTGCATCATCCCTTATGTAACCTAATTATAATGCCCATCTTCACTTCCCCCATGGTATGAGCCAGAACTATAGAGGCATAAACGGCAGGCATCCAACAAGGTGCCAGAGTGAAAGGACAGTTCCGCTCCGCGGCACCTCTTTGTTCTAAACCCTAACTCGTAGTTTCCAGGAATAGGGGGCCAAAGTATAGACCCCAACATATCATACAGCGAGCCCCAAAAAAGCGTCCCTAACTTCCGGAAATCCCCATCCCTATAGACCACCATGTAGCAACAGTCTCCATGTGATGTTCCATATTCTTTCCATTTGATTCGCCATTATTCGGATAATATCCCTAAACCCTATATAACCCCTATAATGCAATCGGGAAAAGATCTCTCTTTGGCTCTGCCAAGCCCCAAGGGCTACTGCTGAGCTCTTGCTGGCTGGAAGATGCCATGACAAGAGCTCTGCTGTACAATGTTACTGGTGGTTAGGAGGGGGGATCGTCCGCTCCGACCTACCCCCCACAAGGCAGCATGAGGCTTCCTGGATATGATTTGCAGTATTGAGATCGCTTGAAAAGGTCCCTGCCTCCAGAAACTGCAAGCGCGTTGCAATGTTTTCAGTTTCAGGTATTAGGTATCAGGAGATCCGGACTAGTGGTTTAGGGTTTAGGGGGGCAATCTTCCAGGGCGGCCGATGTTTGTTGATCTCGCTTGTAGCTGCCACTGGGCTTTCTTCTCAGACACGCTGGGTTGCTGCTAAGGAACTTAAGGTCAGTTACCAGGATTAGAAAACCCTACTATTCAGGACATAGATATACACATATCCATTCTTCTGAACTTTAAGTAAGCTCGTTAACAGCAACCCGGCACAGGCTACGCTCGTGTTCATGGTGATGGGCAATTTTGGGATAGCCTTCAGCGATGTCGTCGTGGATGGGCCCAAGACCTGGCTTCCACTGAAGCTTCCGTAGGTCCAAGGACTATATGGGGTTTAGGGTTTAGGGTTTAGCGTTGGGGGTTTCGGGATAGGGGTTAAATCGGGTTTCGGGACATTCCCCCGGGTGATGAAAAGTCAAGTGGGGAAGAAAATCGAAGGGGTTCACATGCTTCTAAGGTCTCAACCACCAGCTCCTAAAATGGGCCCTTACCGGTATCCTGGGTCCAAGCTATGGGTCCTCAATTGAGCATTAAAGGTTATTTATAGGGTATAGAAAATGTGTATGCACGGAACTCAGGATTAAGGCCCATACTAAAACCCATACCACCAACCTAAGATACGTTGAAGATCCAGCATACCAAGATGTCTAGAAACGCTAACATTGCTTCAGCCTGCCTACAGCTCTTACTATGGCCTCGTAGAAGTCAAAGAAGCCTCAGGGAAAATCTATTCAGTTTATAATCGATGCTCTGCAATCAAGACCGAAATAGTCCTTTTCCCTGTTATGTCTGTAGTCACTAGAAGAACCATCATGGCAACGGGAATTGTCATTTCAACTTTCCTTCCTACCTTCCCGTCCTAAGCAGACGTAAGTTATACAACCCCCACATGAACTCAGCGATCCTTTCATGTTCCATGTTCTTATCCATTCAATGTTCTACTCATGGGTTAGTGCCACTACAGAACCCCTACAGTATATACAATCCTATATAACCCTAAACACTCTAAACACTAAAACCCTAACCCCTAAATCCCTAAAACCCTAAACCCCTAAACCCCTAAAACCCTAAGTCCCAAAACCCCTAAAACCCTAAATCTCCAAACCCAAGGCTGGTGGTGGAGAAGGCCCGGGATGATCCCAGGCTCATGGGCGGCCTCCAATCCTTCAGCATGAGCCTTGGGGAAGCCCTGGGGTCTTAGGGTGTTAGGGTTCTAGGGGTTCAGGGTTTTGGGGTTTAGGGGTTTAGGGGTTTAGGAGTTTAGGGGTTTAGGGTTTAGGGTTTAGGGGTTTAGGGTTTTAGTGTTTTTAGGGTTTAAAGTTTTTAGGGTTTTTAGGGTTTACTGGGGAGCTGCTAAGGAACTTAATTTAAGTTACTTCATTGGGGAGACCATATTAATTGCTCTATATATATACTTACAACAATTATGGTAACTTAATTTCAATTCCCTAACAGTAACCCAGTTTAGGGTTTAGGGTTTAGGGCTGGGCTTTTAAGATGGGCTTTTCCTCAAATTGTCTCTCTATGACCCCCGGTAGGGACCCCTAGAATCTCTCTCGATCATCTTCATTTATCCTTGAGACGGGCCCCCATTTTTGAGGAACTCCCTAACAGAGGGCCCCTGAGGTTCGACATGACATGTGGGGATTGCAAGGACATGATGAAGGAGGTTGACTGTTATTCCTCTACCTAAAGCCTTTGCACAGGGTCCCTTATTGAGAATGGTATTTACGCCTTGCTAGAATGATAGATAGTTGGAGAGTCTAAAGAATGGTGAGAAGCAGCAGCTGAATTATGGGCTTACTGTCCCGGGAGTATGCCAGAAGCCAGCACTTTTTGAGATCCGAGACATTCAATTCAGCATCTAGGTGCAAGTATGAATATTGTCTCAAACCCACGGCATCTCATCCGTGCTTGGCCCTCTTGAACTTGCCGTTTCCGGAGGGATTGTAATTGGGTTCTGAGTCTTTGAGTCGTTCAATGCTTCGAATCTCCACAGCCTCTCGCTCCGTTAGAAGAGCAAAGGTGGCTCATCAGTATCACAGATTATCACAGCAACCTCTCTTCTCTGCGGCACAGTTTGATTTCAAGCCTCAGCAACGCGAGTCCTTTCAATCGCATCTCCGTTGAGGGCGTTGTAATCACAGCATAGCTAGTTGACAGACTTTCCGATGCAGTGCAACATCTGCAGAAATTGATACATGATGGACGATTCACTTGTTGCAGCCGAAGGCGCGGCAGAAATTTCAAAAGCTTTCACCGATGGACGTGCAGTGTCAGGCCCAGGCAGCCCAGGGCCTGATCACCCAGAAATCCTGAATTAGGGCCCAAGTACTACAATATTAATGGTATTTGGGCCCAAAAACCCATACTATCATTTGGGTCCTATATACCCCTATATCATCCCCATATAGCCCTAGATAGTCCCCCTATACCCCCTTTAAGGGGACCCCAATGTACATGGTAACTGTCAGGCAGACAAGGAGCCTAGCTGGCCGCCAGAAGTTCTGCAGAGGCTTTCAGCATTCCCAGCCCAGCTGCTGGAACCAACTCCTTGGGCCCAAGGGCCACATGATACTGGGTTGCTGTTAAGGAACTTAAATTAAGTTACTCTATTGGGGAACCCCTATTATTTACCATATATACCCATTAGGGTAACTTAACTTAAGTTCCTTAACAGCAACCCAGGATAAAAGCAACTGGCTCATCCCAGGATGTGTGTTGGTTGGCGGCTGGCCTTTTCGGCTACCCAAAGGTCGAGGCTCACCAGGAGAATCCGCAGAGGAAGGTGTGGCAAAGCTCCACAGCATCCTCCACGCTGGAACCAATACGTTCATCTCGCTCACCGAGGAAGCCGAGATTCGCGGCAAGCCCTACTGTTTCAACAGCTTCCAGAAAGCCGCTGAAGTTCAGTATCGTGAGCTGCATGGCCCGCAACGGCAGGCAAAGCGAGCGGGCCTGGAGCTTCGCTTCCTGACTTGTCCCATGGTTGATGGGGGCACCTGCGAGGACCAGAAGCTATTGCACTTGCTTCAGTGCTTGCTGGTAGAACTGAGAGCTGCCCGGGCCGTCTACATTCATTGCTACTGGAGCACGAATTGAAACGAAATAAGTGACGGTCCAAGTTTAAGTGACGACTGTATGGATAATATGATATACGGTAAGCCATATGGTGTCCTCATCATAGTAGCTTAGTTTAAGTTCCTGAACAGCAACCCAGGCTATGGCGGTCATGGCCGTACTGGAATTGTGGCTTGCTCTTTGGTATGCTTGCTGTGGCAGATTTCTCCCATGGAAGCCGTAGATATCTTCAACAGCTTGCATTCCTACCGGGTTGAGTGCGGTGTTGGAGGTCCAGGTCAGTTTCCTCATAGCGACGCACAACTGCGACAGGTAAAGCGAGTGGCTTCTTGGCGTGCTCGGTTTGAAGCACAACTACCAGCTGTCCACCAGCTCCTCCCGCTGACCTCCATGCTCGCTGAAAAGAAGGTCTCCACATATACCGAACCCCCAGAATTCCTCCTTGTAGGGGACCCAGAAGAGAAGCTCCCAGGAGTTTTGGTTAACTAGACCTGTTCTTGCCTGTAGCAGCCGCAGGGTCAGCATGAGAGTCAATCCTCAGGTTTTTGCATTTTTCCTTTCGGCTGATCCTCCATACCTGATTTTCAAGGCGCCGCCACGTCCAAGACCCTCATGCCTCCATGTTCCTTACTTGAGTGGCAATTCTAGTACTAGCACAGAAACGGTGATAAGGATCGTAAGAACTGGTGACAGCTCCAGACGTACCACTTGCATAGACCTGTAGCAAGTCTGCGGTGTGGCAGTCGTAAAAAAAGATAAACGGTAGCAGCAAGTGCAGCAGCAGGAGGAGGAACATCAAGATGTAGGGGTATTGCCCCTATATTACAATCCCCATATTACCCCTATGTGACGCGAATATAATCCCTGTACTGCCTCTCTATAAGTCCCGATAATACCCTAAATCATCATACCCCTATATGAGCTATAGTCTAAACTCCTTAAAAGGGATTCTATTGGGGACTACTATAGGGCTTATTAAGGGGGATACTAGGAGCTTAGACAATGGCTCATACGGGTACTACTCACTCCTATGCCTCCCTGCTACTGCCGGTTCAGCAGTTATGGACAAAATCTTGGTTTAAGGTCACCTGACTGATAATTGTATAGTTAAGGTCATGCACGGTTCGTTCCACCAACAGTAGCACCCTTAACCCGAACCTGAAACTCTGGCCCCTTGACCCCAAGCCTCGAATCCCCTAAACCCAAAACCCAGAAATTGTAATAGCAACAGCCATAGGCCACAGAAATAGTAGCAAAAGTGGGCCCCCACCCCAAACCCTTAACACAAAACCCTAAACCCTAAACCCTGACTGCAGAAACTGAGGTTGGGCCTGTCGAGGCTTTGGTGCAATCCTCTCAGCGTAGCTTGGCTCTGACTGCCTACGGGGGACTGGGTTTAGGGTTGAGGGTTTAGGGTTGAGGGTTTAGGGTTGAGGGTTTAGGGTCAAGGGGACTTCGTAAGTATACTTATCACCTCTATAGTACTTATCAAGCCCCCTTGACCCTCCAAGTAGATGACACGAATTAGACACGGCAGATGTGGTGATGTGGTGGTTACCTTCATGTAGAGGCTTTTCAAGGGAGATCCCGAAACAATAACCTTAGGTTTTTCAATATCCTTGGCATCCTCGGAATCATGGCGTGTGGCGTGTCTGTTGAAATTACATTTTTTTCCTTGGGTGTATAGGGTTTAGTAATTTAGGGCAGGTCCCCTGTAATCTCCCAGTGAGCCCCAGCGTCCTAAAGGTCCCCACAGGCCCACTTGTTGCAACAACCCATTTCGAACAGTCCAGCAGTGTCTGCAAAGCGTACTGAAGCTTCCAACAAATTCGGGGACCTACAGGTTTCTACATAGGAGTGCTCAAAAACTGTGAGTTGAGTCCCTTGTAGGAGTCCCTACTAAAGGATTGCTTCTTTGGGGTTTGGAAGGGGGACTGCTTTGGAAAATACCCGCATACTCTTGCATCCACTAAAACAACCTGAGGGTTTGCTTACACACCCTTTGATAAACATAGCTTCCTTGATGCTGCACCTAAGCGTCATGCAAACGCACCTTCACAGAACCTTGTTGACGTTTTTTCCTGCCGTTTCATCCCAGGTATTTCAGCGGAGCGCTTCTTGAAATGATTGGGGCTGGAGCCTAAGCTTGAGCGCTTGGGAAAGTTAGTTTAGGGTTTAGGGTCTGGGGGTGATTGGGGCTACAGCCTTAGCTTGAGCGTTTGGGAAGTTAGGGCTTAGGGTTTAGGGGTTGGGTTGGCATTTTCGACCCTCGCATGTGCTGGCAAAGAAGTGTCGAATGCTTGTGAGTCCCAATTACTAGCTGTGTTGTCTATGCCTTCATGACCCCTCATTCAGAACCTCGTCGGAACATCCAACTAAGAGTTTGCCCTTATGTCTTCCCGGAGGATAGTTTGTCCCTAGCGTTGGGGTTTCGGGTTTACGGTTTAGGGGCTCTCAACCCAAAACCCTGAACCCTCCCCCTCTCCTTATCCGCAGCAGGGTCATTAGAATCATTAGAAGTCCACCATGGTGAAAAGCTTCGATTTGTATAGTGTCCCCTATACAATCCTGAGTAATGCAGTAGCTTCCATTTTGCTTCCATTACTTCATACCTTAGAAACAGGCATAAAAGTTTGGTGGATGCTGCCAGGTCCAGCAGGTCTTTGCAGTCACAGCCCTGCTTCCCCTGTTGGTTATCGTGGCTGCGGTGCCCTACGTTTTGCGGTGTTTAGCAGTTTAGGGATTAGGGTTTTGAATACAGGCTTGAGGCTTCAGGTTCGTTTAGAATCGGGCTACAGGGTTCATTGTTTGAGTTGAGGGTTTAGTTGAGAATATAGGTTAGGATTCAGGGTTGAGTAGGTAAGAGCACGATCCCCTAAACTGCAGAGAGACTCTTTTTATTGAGCATCCACATGCAGAAATGGAAAGGACATCACGTCGTAAATTCTTCAGATTGTTTACCTGATCCTCGAGGCAAGGCCAAGCCCGCTGCGATGTCACCAATGTCCTAACCTTAAGCAGCAGCTCGCGGAAATCAAATGGCATGTTCAACGGTCGCAGCACTGCTCGGCAGAAACAGAACATCGTGTTAACATCCCCTTCCTTGTCTGCATTTGTTTCTGAGAAGCGTGTTTTCCATCATGAGCCGAACAAATATCACGTGCTCTCTGCCGGCAGCTACTGACCTAAACCGCAAGACCTGAGCCCTACAACACTCACGCAAGATCCTGAGACCCTGAACTGGAACCCTATACATCCCTACCTCTCCCTATAACCTGCTTCAAGGGTCCCTCCCTAAGCAGCAGGTATTGATCAGAGAGCCGGCACAGCCTGCAGCTAGCAGCAACGCTTTGGACTGGGATGAGGCATGCTGCAAAGCAGTTTATAGGAACTGCGGGCCTTTGAAAGGGGCATGTAGGTGGAGGGGAGAAGCATGCATGATCATATGAGCTGTTGTCTAAACTCATGAAAGGGGTTATATAGGGAGTTATCTAGGGGAGTATTATAGGGCGTATTAAGGGGGATACCAGGTGTTTAGACCATGGCTCAGATGCTCATATGTGTTGTGTACACAGGATGCTATTCCAAGTCTTCAGGCCCCTGCAGCAGGCATATGAGTAGTTCCCAACAATAAGGTCCCATTTTGGTACCCCTAAACAGTGGGTGCCGTAATATATCCTATGACCAAAAGGGGCCCATTCTTTTGAGAATGACCCAGATGGCTAACATGTATTAAGAACGAACAACGCATTTCCTACCTGGATCTCGCTCTAACCAGCCTCGACCGCTTTGGTTCCCGTGCGTTCCCCCAGCTGTAGGTCAATCTTGCCGCCAAGCGGACGTTCTCAAACAATCCCTCTAAACCCTAAACCCAACCCTAAACCCAACCCTAAACCCTAATCCCTTTACAATCCCTCCTAAGGACTCCTGGGGGGCTTTTTTGGGGAGCCACATGGCCCTGCGTGTAGGCAGCCAAACCTGACAGTTACCTGGCATCCTCCGTCCTGAACCACTAAACTAGCGGCTTAGGGCTTAGTTGAGGGTTTAGGTGCAATAGGGTGTAGGACTTGATCTGTAGGGTTTAGGATATCCAGCAGGAAAAGAGTAAACCCAGACTTCACAAGATAAGCTAAACATTCAGTACTGCCCCTGCCTACTCACAGACACCACAAACCAGACCGCAAAAAAAAACACAACACTATTTTCATGACCACACAAAAATGGTGTTGTGGATTTTTTGTGGTCTGGTTTGTGGTGTCAGTTTGGAGATGGGCAGGGGCAGACCACAAACCAGACCACACAAAACACACAACACCAGTTTCATGACCCCATAAAAATAGTGTTGTGCTTTTTGTATGTGGGCGTTTATAGAGAAACCCATTAAGCGACTGTTAGTGGGCGGGGGCAGCACTTAATCTAAACACCCTTAAACCCCTAAAACAATCTAGACCCGTGGCCCACAACCAAAAAAACAACTTGAACCATCTAAGACCCCTAAACTCTGCTATGCGGAGGCTCGACAGCTTGGCCAACAAGTCTGGGAGGCAAGTTGGGCTTAGGGGTTGGGGTTTAGGGTTGAGGGTTCAGGATTTAGGGTTTAGGGCTTAGGGTTCAAGTTTTAGGGTTTAGTACCCTAAACCCTTAAACCCTAAACCCTAAACATGTAGGGTTCAGGATTCAGGACTTTAGGGTTTCATGCGACATGCAGCTCTGGCCTGACACATTCATCCACGCCACGCCGTCTGAGGCGGCCAGGACACACAAACCTATTACGCCTCTTAGGGTTTAGGACCAGTAGCCCCCCTTAAGTAGATAGAATATGGCTTTGGGTATATTATAATAAGATCCCCATATACTCCATATTCTATCTACTTAAAGGGGACTATAAACTCAGTCAGCTTCGTCTTGGAAGTGCACACTACGCACACGAAATCATATTAATCTTTAAGTTGTCGTTGTTGAAGGGATCTTGAACGCTTAGTCACTGAAATATTCAAGGGGGGCTGGAGGTCCCTTGGCAAGGAGGAGGCCACTCTGGCCTGCTAAGGCCCTTAGAGCCTTTGAGGCGGGTTCTTAGAAGGTTTGAGTTTCATAGTCCCGAAATTCGCTGGAGGGTTTGCGGATCCAAAAGCCCCCAGGAGGACCCACACCAGCCACCCCTAGAGCTTGAACTAGGAGTTTAGGGCATTTACGTTATAAGGCCAGGCGGCCAGTAGTGGGTCCTATACCGTATCTGCGGCCGTGTTGAGGCAGGACCAGGTAGGTCAACCTCGGGACGGCGAGGGGCGTGAGCGCCAACCACCATCGTAGGTGGTTGGGCGGCATACGCCTTGATGTTTAAGGTTTAGGGTCCCTTGAAGCCCATGGGTATTTATGGGAGCTTATAGGGGTCTACAGTG